GTCTTGCCCTGCCTCCCTTCAGGGCAGGGCCCGTCCAGCCGCGATGTCCCGGCACCCCCGCTGCCCCTGCCCAGGGTGCGAGTCACCCGAGCTGAGTGCCCAGCTGGCGGCTCTGGGGAAAGTAGGCGCTCAGGCGGTGGAGGGGCCCCGGGCCTGCCGCGCCCCACCTGGTGCTGTGGACGGAGGGGCTGCGGCCACGCCCAGCACCCGTAAGTGACCCAGCCCGCTTCCCTCGCTCAGGCTGTTTAAACTGAAGCAGCGCTACCGCAACGTGCTGGACACCATGTTTGAACTGCTGCCGCGGATGGCCAGGTACTGCCCTGCCTCTGGGCCCCCAGGGCCAGGCATCGCGAGGCTTGTGCCCCCTCGGGCTGGGCAGCTGGGTGGTCTCGGGGGCAGGGGGAGGGGGAGTCCCACAAAGGACGAACATCGAGGGCCTGACAGGGTCGGATCTCTTCAAGGAGACCGAGACCTTGACCACCACAGGTCCCCCTGGTTCCACGTTTCTCCACCGACCTGTCTGAAATATTTAGTAGGGAGGGCAGGGAGCTGTCAACTCACTTACCACCTGTGTCTATGTTCACAGGTAAGGGTCACCTGTGAGTCTACTTTCACAGGTAAGGGGTGAATCGCTGGTAGAGGGGCGTCTGGTAATAGAGTCCTGATTCGAGCCGTCTTCTACCCCAGACCTGAATCCAAGGCCCCTCCCCTGCAGGCACTTTCCAGCTGGTGCACCTGGCTAGGGGCATGCGTCTCCATCAGTCAGCTCAGGGGTCTGAGGATGCCGGGGCCGCCGGGCGAGCTGCTGCCTCCTGCCTGGCCCTCGATCACCCTGTCTCTTCTGACCCTCCTCCCTAGCCTGGGCCTCACCCTGCTCATCTTTTACTACTCCTTCGCCATCGTGGGCATGGAATTCTTCTGTGGCATCCTCTACCCCAACTGCTGCAAGTGAGTACGCCGCGGGGCCCCCAGCCCCAGGCAGCCTGCGTTTCTGGAGGAGCCCAGCCAGGACTGGCACGCTGACCTCTGATCCCTCAGGGGCCCACCTCCCCAGGCCACAGCACCCTTTGAAGCCCTGAGAATCACTTTGCTTTGCTTCCAGGGCTTATTAGTTCAGTGCAGCAGCTAAGGGAGGATGCCTGGAAGCAGGGGGTCCTCTCTGAAGTGAGGATGTCTGAGCAAGTTTCCCTGTCCCCCAGGCAGGGTCTAGGAGCCCACTCTCCAGCCAGGTCTCCATCAGCTTACCCTTCGGGCTGGGCGCCGGCGGCTCCTCCAGAACCGGGAGCAGCCTGGGGCCCGAGGCCGGAGTCCCACAGCTTCCTCCTGCTTCTCCCCGGGGGTGACTGGGGACCTGGGCAGACACATCAGCTAGGGGTGGCCTGTTAGGATGAGGGCAGACACACGTGGGAAGGTCTCTGGGGCAGGGATAGAGAGCGGGGGACACAACCTCCCTTGATCACACTCCCTTTCCTCCTAAGCCACCATGATGAAATCCGTGTGCTCTGCCATTCATTCTCCATCCAGTGTTCTCTTAAAATTGGTCCTTATGGTTTCAAGCGCTGATAAAGAAAGTTCTCAGAGACACTGTTAGCCGTTTTGAGTGTCAGGCTAAGCTGAGAACCAGAGCCTGTAGCAGTGGGTCACAAACCTTAGGGCACATGAGAATTCTCAGGGCCGCTGCTTAAAAGGGCAAACTCCAGACCCCACCCTGCGTGTCCGACACAGGCCAGAGGCTCAGGACTCTGCCTTCGGAACAAGCTCCCTGGGGGCCCAAGGACCAGACCTGTCAAAACATCAGCATGAATTATAGCAGGTCAGCTATAAGAGGTTGGCAGGAAAGTAGCAAACAAGCTCTCAGAACAGGGGCAACTGCTGAGCATAGAACAGAACACTCCAGCCAGGTGCTGGGGAAAGCCCGATGAGGCGAGGACCCTTCTCGAGGGCTGCCGTTGGCACCCGGCCTCCAGGGCTGATCCCAGACTGGTGGGGGCAGGGGGCTGGGGGTGGTGTTCGAGGAGGCACTGCCTTTGTCTCCCCTCCCGGAGCGCCGGGCTCTGGCCGCTGAGAGCGAGAAGGCCTGGCTGGCGGCAGAGAAATGCCAAGTGAAGGTGGAATGGGGGGCAAGTCTGGGCGTCCCCACCAGCACCCTGGGGACTCCCCTTGAGACAGGAAGACAGGCAAGGGAGCTGGGGTCTCGGCAGGAAACCAGGCTGGGCCACGAGAGATGGTCCTCAGTCAGACCTTGGTTTGCTTAAACTTTCTGTATTTGTTGAGGTGACCAGTTATCTTGTGACCTTCCCGCCCAACCCTCTGTACCCCCCCCCACCCCCCGCCCCGTCTCCCCCGGCCAGTGCGAGCACAGTGGCAGACGCCTACCGCTGGCTCAACCACACCGTGGACAACAGGACCACGGTGGAGGAAGGCTACTACTATCTGAACAACTTTGACAACATCCTGAACAGCTTTGGTGAGTGCGGAAAGCCCAGGCGGGCCGTGCCCTGGGTACTGCCTTGGTCACCGCAGGTCCCAGGTGGGGCGGAGCAGAACTGCCCGAGGCTTCCCCATCCCGAGCCGTTTGCCATACTTTCTCGAGTTCTCTCTGGCCCCAGTGGAGCCTGTGGTTTGCCCAGTCTTGGGGGTGCAGTCCAGGCCAGACCCCAGGGCTTGTTTCCTGTTACTTTTTCAGCATCGGGGGAGCAGCAGAGCTTCATGCTTGGCTGGGAAGTGGGTACAGCCCGATGCTAGGGAACCAGCCCCCTTGTCACAGCTCCACAGTTTCAGGGTGGGACCTGGCCACACCAGCCAGCCACAGTGTCCCACACTACCCAGGCCAGGCCCACACAGCTCTGCTCCTGGCTTCCATGGAGAGGCTGGGGGGCCAGACACAGCTTCTCAAGAGGAAGGGATCCCATCATGACATCACAGATCTACACCAAGGAAGGTCCAGCGACTATTTCCCCAGTATCTCCACCCCTGGTCCATCACGAGCTGCTGAGGCCAAAGATGCAGCACTTTTGGGGCCCGGCCAAGATGGCAGCACTCCCTGTGGGGTGGGCGCTTGGGAAGCGCCTTGGCTGCTCTCTCGGGAGCTCACAGGCCACCCTGGCAGACAAGTGCGTGGTACCCAGGATAGGTGGAGAGAGGCCGCTTGAAACTCACTTTGCAAAAGCAGGTCTGATCAAGATGCTTTCTGTTTCTCCCTTCCCTTTGGCAGTGACCTTGTTTGAGCTCACAGTTGTCAACAACTGGTACATCATCATGGTAAGGACCTCCGTCAGCTCCTGGAGGCATCTTACCACCATTCTCTGAGGCCAGCTCCCGCCCGTCTCCCCTCACGCAGCCTGGGGCACATTGCTCTCCCCGTCCCCCGCAGGGGCAGGGTTCTGTGGGGACGCCACGGTATGGCCTGAATCCCAAGAGCCTCCCCCTCCGCACTTGCTGGACGTGGCCTTTGTCCCTGCTTTCCACACATCCCCCAGCAGCCAGGAGAGGCCGCTTAGCCTCTGGGTCTCTGTCCTGCTCCCACCACTGTGAGGGAGACTTTTCGATCAAGAAACAGTGTGGCAAGTGTGGTTGGTTGGTTGGTTTTTTTCCATTCCTTAAATTCTTCCAAAGTTTGGCCGTATCAGTCCTGGGGGGGGGGGGGGGGGGGTGTCGCGC